ATGCATGCATCTGCCATATTTTTTGTTATTCTTCATTTAATTTGGGTATAAACAAATACATTTTTTTTTCTCGGAAACCAATAGAAAATTTAAAATCTAAAAATTTGAATATTGTCGACCGAAAAGAAACTAATTTACATTATTCTCATCTCAAATTCGAGAAAATTATGAACCTAAAATATTTCAGTAAAACAAATTTTATGAAACATGTGATTTATGCTTGTGAATATATATGCAACAAAATAAATAATCTACATGAAGCAATTGTTTGTTTTAAAGCAGAAACATGTGATCAGCTTTACTGGAGAAATAGGATAGCTGAATTTTAGGCCATGTCATGTTTTTGAAGGAATTTCTGCTTTTGTTCTTTCCACAAAGCGTGAGTTGGAATTTTTGGTGTACAAATGTAGTAAGGTTGATATAAGTTTGTAAGAAATGGTGTATTGAAACATTATATTTTCTAATATTACCCAGATGACAAAAAAAAAAAAAAGAAGCAATTGTTCGTGGCCCAAGTTTTAAGGGTCTTGTGGTGTATTTTTATATAGTCAGCAAAAAAACAAAATATGATTTTTTCCTTTATGAATTAAAAGGAAAAAAAAATATTGCGAAATTTTGTGTGTCTGATATTATATAATTCAAAATTCGAAATTACACAAAACCAACATATGATAAGATATTCATGGTAACAAAGTCGTCAGAATACACAAATTCTCCGGAAACATAACTAAAAAAATAAAATAGGGAAACTATAACCCAATCCAACGAAAAGGAACATCGCTGGAAAAATAAAAAATCTTTAAACCCACTAAACTAATGCATTTTTTTTTTCAAAAGAAGAGTTTTTGTTTGTTTTATTTTATTGTAAAAAAAAGTCCTTAAGAACATTATATTTTTTGATGTTTTAAAAAATTTTTTGGTTATAATAACAACATATATATAATATAAACGTATGGTTCTTAATCTAATGGCTATGCTTAATCATATAATGTGGTGGGTTTTGTGAAATAGGAATGGGTCCAGTTGAAGCAAGAACGTGTGAGTCAGTGAGTGGCAAGTTCAGTGGAGTGTGTCTGAACTCAGCCAGTTGTGCCAGAGTTTGCCCCACCGAAGGTTTTTCAGGCGGTCGATGCAGTGGTCTCCGTTGCTACTGCTCAAAAGCCTGCTAAATAACATTTATCCTAATTAATGACCAATTAAAATTTATATAATATTGGTTTTTATTTTTTTTTGTAATTAAGAATTTCTAAGTGTTTATGAATTGAAACAAAAATTCTGCTTATTATGGTATGTACGTGTATATAATAATCGACCATGTAAATATACCTATCAGATTACATATATATCATGAAATGATTCACTGCTATTAACAGAATTACATACAACTTATACGGAAAGTATAATTGTATACGAGTTCTTTGGATTTTGGAGTTTGATTTTTAATTAACATTTCAAGATCTAGATATTATATATGTATTTAAATGTTAGATATTTTAGACATTGATTAGTATGTAACAATGCGATA